AAAATGGATATGGTGTATTTTTTAATTCAGCGCTAGTACTTTCGTGTGCTTCACGCATTCATCATCGGGCTGTATTTTTTTCCTCTAGAATCAAAACTGGAAGACGGAATAAATGTGTTTTTCCAACCGAAATTGTTTTTAAGAATGAGCTATTTAATAACAGTTATGTAGTGTTGGAGCGTGCAGGTCGCAACGCTAAAGTTCAAATATTTCAAGAGAGAATTTTTATGATTTTTTGTAATTTGGTAAATCCACGAACTTTTTTATAAGTGTTTTTCAGTTACTATGACATGAACTAAGTAGATAGTTCAATTAACAGAGTGATATATCTTAGTAGTTTTTATCTCAGGAATTCTTTACTGCGGATCAATTGTTTTTCATGAACATAATAAAATAGGCAGCATATATTTTATATTATAAAGAGTTAGTCTATATTTCTGAGATGGGGTATTATGTATATTATTTACATTATTCGGACTATTGTCCTCATCTTTGTCGCCATATTTATCACAATGTTTCGGCCGTTGTAAACTCAGGCCTTCTTCAGGTGATTGGAATGTCGAACTGAACCCTTTATTTCGCTCACCTCAAGGACACATGGCACAGTGGATACAGGCGTTAGTTAGATCCAGTGACAGGACCCAAACAGTGTGAGTTCAATACCCGGTTAAGGCAGTGGAGAACTTTCAGAGGGAAATTAACAGGAGATAACTGATAACTGACATCCATCAAACATGGCACGTGGAACTAGAACAGTCTACCCCGGTGAGCGAAATAAAGGGTTCAGTTCGATTTGTATTTGTTCCATCTCAGGTCAGCAGTCAACGTGAGACCGAGCAGACGCAGGGAGTTGCTCTCAGGAAGTTGACTATCAGACATCTTAATGGGGGCAGGGAAGGATCTCTATGGTGGTTAATGGAGGGTAGTTTAGTTTTTGAGGCGTTAAAGTTGACCAGCCAATTCTTGCCCCAGTTAACAACCGATTGGACGTCCATTTCAAGACGCACGGCCAGGTTAGTTTTGTCGCCGACACTCGATTTGTTTTTCAGGCAGGAGTAAATTGTAGTGTCGTCCGCGTAGATGGCAACTTGGGAATCTATGGCGTCAGGAAGGTCGTTGATGAAAATAAGGAAAAGAGTGGGGCCAAGGATGGAGCCTTGGGGAACACCTGCGTTCGTGGGATAGGAACTGGAGGAGAATCCGTTGAGAACGACCTTCAATTCTCGGTTTGAAAGGAATGATTGTATTAGATCAAACAGTCGACCAGTAATACCATAACCCTGGAGCTTACGAAGAAGGCCGGCATGCCAAACCCTATCAAACGCTTTGGAGATGTCTAGGGCCACGGCACGAGCCTCACTGTTATTTTGAAGGGCTTGGTAGATGGTTTCAGTGATGGCCATAAGCACATCAGCTGTAGATCGGGCGTAGCGGAAACCATATTGCTTGTCTGAGAGCAGATCATGGGATGTAAGGTGGTTAACCTCTTCGGCATTGATTAGGGCTTCGAAGACTTTGCCGAAGAGGGGTAGGAGACTAATAGTACGGTAATTAGAGGGGTCAGAGGGGTCTCCAGAGTTCTTAAACACAGGAACAATGGATGAGGACTTCCAGCAGTCAGGAAAACAGGATTTCTTGAGGCAGTAATTATACAGTTTAGAGTGGGCGGGCGCTAGCTCAGGCGCGCATTTCTTCAAGACAATAGCTGGTATGCCATCTCCACCACTAGCCTTGTGGGGGGCTAAATTGGAGATAATGCCCAGTACCAATGACGGGGTTATGTATAAGCCGCTCAATAGAGCCTCAGTTCTTAGAGGGACGTCTGGTATGGGTACACCGGTGGAGTCGAGCGTTGAATTAAATGAGAATTTCCGAGCAAAGCCTTCAGCCTTGTCGGTAGAGGAAGTCAAGACCTCGAACTGGTTGAATAAAGGAGGTATGGAGGGTTTTCTATTGTTCAGGACACTCTTGCAGAGCCGCCAATAATCTTTGGAGCCAAATTTGCGAGATGCAATACGCTCCTTCATCCGAGTAGCAAATATTGACTTAGCTTCGTTGAGGACACGCTTACACTCGTTACGGGCGGAGGCAAAGAGATGTCTATTGCAGTCCGATATGTCGCTACGAAATATGTGAAAGAAGTGGTTCCTATGGGAAATGGCGGCTGAGCAAGCAGCGGAGAACCAAGGGGAGGAGTGCGACTTGACCTTAAATTTCCTTGAGGGGATGAAAGCGTCGATTCCAGCTTTAACCCAGGATGAGAACTCAGAAGCACATTCTTGGACAGGGAGTGTAAAGACAACATTCCAGAGGACATCGCGGAGGAAGTGACGGAACGAGTCCCAATCCGCTTGTTGATAGTAGAACGAGGTTCTAGTGATGGGAGGTTCTTTGCGGGGTGTGGAGTTGAAGGAAATGTTAACAGATACCACGGCATGATCGGAGTTACCAAGAGGGCAGAGCTGTGTGGCGCTACAAGATTCGGGGATGGAGGTAAAACACAGATCGAGAAGGGAGGCCTTACCTGCTAGGTTGAAGAAAAAACGCGTGGGGAAGTCAACTATCTGCGCGAGGGATTGAGAAATTGAAAAGTTAAGTGTTTGAATGCCAGCCCGGTCAGTAGTAGCATTCTCTAGCCACTTGGTATGATGGGCGTTAAAGTCACCAAACACGACTATGTGAGCAAACGGGTGGAGAGAGAGGGCCTTGTCTATGCTGTCAGATATGCTATCGAGTAACTCACAGTCTTGAGAGGATGGAGAGCGATAGAGGAATAAGAGATAGCTTACGGCATTGATGAGAGATAGTCAGAGAGACATGTACGAATGGTCTGGCGATTTGAGAGACAACTCTCTGGCCAGGGGGAGATGGTTTTTGACACCAAGGCCGTGCATGTGGGTTACTGCTGGTGACGGATAGGAATGGTCGCTGACCACTCTCCGACCCCAACACTGCGTTATCTGTTACCTGACACTTGGGCACTGAGATATGGCTGGCTGTACATTCACTGGCGTCCACCAGAATGGAAGCGGACATTAACTTTCTGCCATGTGTGAGTATAAATTCATTCTACCAGAGACGCATCCAAAAGCATCTCTCTCTCTCTCTCTCTCTCTCTCTCTATATATATATATATATATATATATATATATATATATATTCAACGTTTGATTAACTCTTTGTAATATATATATATATATGTGTGTGTGTGTGTATTGTGTATAATCTTAAATGCCTATAATTGATAACCGAAGCCAATGGTTTATACCAATCTTTGATAATGGCTTATGTAAGCCGAAAGCTTAGATTGGATTTAAACATGCATCAATATGGTGATTTCCTTTCGTCTTTCAATGATAATGTTATTAAAACTTATCAGACAATATGAAAGGAACTTAATTAAAATAAATAGACAAAACTTGTCTATATTACTTAATGAAACATGCATCAATATATATATATATATATATATATATATATATATATATATATATATATGTGTGTGTGTGTGTGTGTGTGTGTGTATATATATATATATATATATATATATATATAGTTGTCAGATTCTCATACGTCGAAACTGACGGTAGAGTCCATTATATATATATATATATATATATATATATATATACTAAAAGGTGAAAAAGAACCGCAAAATATTTTGGTTGCAATGTGGACTTTTAAAATATATATTATACTTTAATATGGAAAATAATGCATAATATATATTTAAAAACACCACATTAAAACTAAAAACATTTGCGGCTTCTCTCTACTCTATAAAATATAAACTTTTCTCTCGTTGGAACAAATTTAATCTACCTGATATATATATATATATATATATATATATATATATATATATATATATATATATATATATATGCATATATATATATATATATATATATATATATGAACATCAATTATTACGGTGGAAAAGACATTGTACTACTATAAGACTTTCAGGTAGAATTTAGCTCTGTTCGAGAAGAATGTTTGACGAACATTGTATCGTGCGTCTATCCATTTAATTGAAAGCCATATTACCTGGCCACGTCTCCGCTGATTATGGTATGTTCGGCGCCTGGAAACAGTGGGACTTTTCAGGCGCAACTTTTCATCGACAGGACGTAGATAATGTTGATAACAAGCAGAAATATCATGTAAAGATGTAAATTAGAAATGACGAAAAAAGAGATGGAACAATGTGTTCAGATTCCGATACATGCCAAGTAATAAGTCGGAAATTGTGGAATAATTCGAAAGGTGTCTATTTCGACAGATGAGCCAGGCAACTCTTAAATTAATGCGAACATGTTACATAACCCCAGAACAGATAATTCTTTAGGAAAATCTCTGAAGGTAGTAATTAATTTACGAAGAAGAGGTTACATAAGAATGTATCCATTTCCAACGCTTCGCTCGTTCTACATAGCAATATTTTGAATGTATTATGTTAATTATACAAAAGTGTAGTTACTGAAGTATTGATCTCTTCCTTGTATTAAAATATCACACCAAAAATATACGGCTACTCATATCCAAATTTTCATTTTTTCCTAATTAACTCTCTAACGTCATGTATCATCAGGTGATTTTTTTATGTAATATGAACTGGTATTGCAACTACATCTCATGTCATCAAAGTGTTGAGCCCACGACAGACATTTTGTCCCTCCAGCTCTCAAAGTCTTGACAGTGAACATAATCCAGTGGAAGATTGATCTGCTGGAGGTCCTGACAAACGACGACCTTCCAGCGGCTGTGCGGTCTGCTGTGAGATCGTCTCCAGTCTGCAGATGGCGGATCGAACTCGTAGATGACTCTGCTTGGGAGTGGTCAACAGGTTGCTGCAGGACGCGACCGAGCCAGCAAACACGGTGCTAAGCGATGTTGTGGAGGATGCTTGGCTGGCCTGTCCTGCAGAGGATCTCCTCATTGGATACAAGATCAAACCGATGTATCGCACGATGTTCCTGAGCGCGCGGGACTCGAAGTCATGGGAGGCGAGAGGCAGGCTGGGAGCACAGAAATATTGTCGGCGTTGCAATATCGTAGCTCGCGTCCGGAGATGTGTTGACAACTTCAGCCGGCGCACGCCTTCTGTTAATCACCTGTCGGAGGTCGTCGGCGATGGAAACTTCTAAGCCCTCGTATACGAAAGGCGTGACGAACTTGACTGGGTCGCTGTCAATGATGATGGCCGGTGGATGAGCAAGAGGCCTTAGAATATTTGACACTCGCTGGATATATCGAAGGCAAGAGGGACCGGGATAGCGAGAGATCTAGTGAGCTTAGATGAATTGAGAGCAGAATTGAGATTGGGAGAGACTGTAAAAAAGAAAGATTGCTTAGATCACTGATTCACAACCTTTTTATACCCAATCCACACTTTTCCTCATTAGTCAGTTTCATTGCCAGTGTCTTTCCAAGATTGTCCGACTCAAACAATGCATTCCAAATAATATGCATATATTATTGAAAATCTTCATCCTCTTCCAAACTACTACACATAAATATTCAAAGAGTTTTACAAATATAATACCAGTAGAACATATTGATGGATTTTTAAGTGCATTTACAGTATTTTTCTTTAAATTAACTAATTATTAAATAAATAAACTGAACCTTACTTCAATAAACAAAATGATCAAAATCTGTCTATATCTTTGAGATGAGGTATTATGATTATTGCATTATTAACATTATTCAAACTGTTATACTCATCTACATTACCATATTCACAGCATACACTGATATCCACAAGGACACATGTCCCAGTGGATTATGACGTTAGTTAGATCCAGTGCCTAGATCCAAAGAGTTGTGAGTTCAATACCAGGCCACAGCAGTGGGGAACCAAAACTTGGAGAGTTGTGTTGAGACATTCGGAAGAGTCATGGCACGTGGAACTAGAACAATCTATACGAAATAAAGGGTTAAGTTCGATATTCAAATCACCTAAAGAAGGCGTACAACGGCGGAAACGTTGTGAATATGGCAATGAAGATGAGGATAATAGTCCGAATAATATAAATAATGTAAGTAAAAAATAGTTCACTATAATCCCAGGCTATTTTAATTCCATAAAAAAAATGGTTAATAAAAGGTCAGGGTATTTAAATAGATTTTATTCTGTGATTATAGCCAATGAGAAACTTGTGAAAAAGTAAAACATATTCCCTGCCCTCACTGAAACCCTGAAATATCCCTTTGGGTGACATTCCAGTGATTGAGAGCCACAAGCTTAGAGCTACAAAGAAGAAAATGTTATGGAGGGCCATGATCGCCCACGTTCTGAAGGTGAAATATTTGACACATGATTGTAGAAGAAACTGTGGCAAACCCACCTCTTCTTCTATGTACTGTGTTACTTCATGACCATATTTCTCAACCGTTCACCCAGAAAGAAATTTTAGATTTTCCGCGGGCAGGAATAATGCTATACTTTCTCACAATTTACAGGGTACATAGAAGAAGAACGTACGGGTTCGCTTTATTTTCTTCTACAGACATGGAAGTCAAATATTTCACGCAGTCATCTACGTTCACAGGCAAAGGTGGGATTATTTTAAGATCCAAACTCTCTGACACTTACCTTACTGGTTTACTGATCACCGTGGTTAACTTACTTCTTATCAGTTCATTATTTTTGTTTTATTTTATAGAAATAATCGTTTCATTTAATTCATTGATGGTAGCATAATACTTATAAAAATGAAGTCACCTGCATGTGTCATTAAGAATGAAGAAATAAACGAGCTGTCACGCTTATTTCGACGGTCACAGGCTCATTAAATAGCGTCTGTTTGTCAAGAGTAAGACCACAGGAGAGTTGATATTCCTGCTTGTGCAGTAAGAGCACCTCTGATTGGTAACTATTTTATCTCAAAACCGAACAAACGATTCTCAATATATTCAGTTAGTCTGGATATATTCTATATACCATCCTTTTTGACATCTTAGATGTCCTAAAACTGAGACGTTATATTAGCTGTGTGTCCTCGGCTCAAATCAGTGGAAAGACTATCCTATATTGCTAACACAAAATGAATTTGCCATCAGCTTTTTGTGCACGAGAAAGTACGCCACAAACTGCTCAGCAACCTTGACATATTTGGAAAGAGTATTAGAATAATGAAGAATATATACTGGCAGCAAACGGCCTGCATACGGATAGAAAATGAGTTCAGCAGATATAAAAAAATAGAAAGGAGTGTAAGACAAGGATACATCCTCTCACCGGACTTATTCAATTTATGCAGTGAGGCGATTCTCAGAGAATTAGAAGCCATACCATGATTCATTATAGGCGGCTACAATCATAGCAACATACGATATGCAGATGACACAGTGCTGACAGCAAACACCGAAAGGAAACTACAATAACTCCGATAGAAGGTAGTGTATGAAAACGGGAAGAAAGGACTAAGTATAAACTTCAAGACAGAATGCATGTTTGTTAGCCAACAGATAAGCCTCAAAATGCAAATTACAAATTAAAGATATCAAAATCAAGCAAGTACAAAAATGTAAATGTCTGCAAAGTTTTTTAACAGACGACGGATAATGTGAAACTGAAATCTGAAGGCCCATTGGGATAATGAAAGATGCTTTCCGAAAGATAAGCAGAGTATCAAGAAACATAAAAAAAAAATCTCGTTAAAAAGAACAGAATACTGAATGTTACGCAATATCAGTCCTCCCGTAGGGCAGTGAATGTTGAACAAACTCTTCAAATATGAAGAACAATCTTGAAGCAACAGAATTTTGTTTCTAAAATGGAAACAAAAAGGAAACTTATACTTAACATGAAGAAGACAGGGTTGGAATTTCTGGGGCTTTCTAGGAAAGCAGGTTTGGAAAATTTGATACTCACAGGACAGATTGAAAACAAGAGGCACAGAAGAAAACAACGCATAACCTACTCAGTGAGCTTGATGGCAGACCAAGATTTAAGAGACATAAAAAAATAATTGATAGATACTAACGACAAGAAATTATGGAAAGCTGTGATCACCAACGACCTGAAGGGACACGGCAAATAAAGAAGATTACTAACAAATTAATTTTTACGACATAATTGGTCAGATCTAATTTGCACAACAATTTATAAAACCATATATTTAGAAATTATTATTCAATGTTATTTAATTATAATTCATTATTTTTTTTAATTGGTCTGTTTCTGTCAATAAACTTTTTTTAATGCATAGTGTTTGTATGGAAATACTTTATATATGTCTTGAATAATGTAGTAGAAATACATCAGTGTGTTTACATTTAAAGAAAGCATAAAATATGTAACCCTTCACTTCGAAAATTTAATTTTTGTTTCCTTTTTTAAATCAAGAATAGAATATATATATATACATATATTTTTTTAAAATATTCTATATTTTTTAAATATTAACATCTTTATAGAATTCTTTAATTTTAGACCGGGTAACATTATTTAAAGTTACGATCGTATAACAATTGTTGTTGTCTGCCATTTCTCATTACTACGAATTAGTCGCGTGTAGTTGAAAAAAATGCGAAATTTTCTAAGTCAAAACTATCAATTTATTTAGATTTTCTTAAAACTTTTTAAAATTATTTAAACAAGCGAAAAAATGGAAATTATCATTAATACAAAAATTTTTAAATTATTTAAATGTTTCTCTCATGAACAGCTCTACTTAGCTACACCCGGAGTAGCATATTCAAGTGGACTTAGAATGATGACAGAGTAAGTCTGTTATGTGCCATGCGTGATACACACTTAAGCGATCAGGCATCTTTCGATACATGGCTGACGAGGCAAAATTTTCCCGCAATAGGTTGCTCTTTCTTTCTGCAGTAGAAACAACAGTTGCCATCCAAGGCTATAGAACCCGGTCTATCCTGTTTTTCCCCATGACTGGTAGGTGGTGAGAATAAGAGGATTCATACCAAGAGTATTTACGTAATGGATTCGAATTTCAGTCGAATCCATTACATTCTCCGTTTCCTCAATCCGAGCCGCTATCCATTACTCCACCGTGCCTCCTTTCATTGATAGAGGGAACATTATAAAATAGATATCTTGCTGAAAATATTGTTTATATAGATATTCTTGAGAGGTAAGAGAACTTCTATGAGAGAGTCAGATTTCTCTGTTCGTAGTAGAGGTTGTTGGCTAGTTGTGAAAAAAAAATGATGTAAAAAGAAATATGAAGTTATTTATTTCGATACACCATTTGTTATCGTATTAAAATTCTACGTCTCGATTTTTGTTGCTGCCCGGTATTTTTTCATCAACTTCAAGCAGCCATTTTGAAACTTGCTCCCCCTTTCTCTGGTATTCAGCAGTCATCGTTACGTCTTTTTTTTTATCTCTGTATTTTCTATTTATTTTACCGAAAACCTTCACGTCTTCTTCGCCTGCTGTCGCTTTGCAGGCACGTTCGTTTTTTTTTGCTCATGTGCTTTTACCGTTTGGTTTACATCTTTTTCAGAAGCTCCACATTTCCTCGGGCCATTACGGTGATTGGTACTCACCCATGAAGATTCGGTTTTGCCTCTACGAGGAGGAAAAAATGGCCACTGTGATTAGATGTGACAAATAGAAGCCTCCACAAACCTATTACTCTCGCCTCGTTTTCGCTGCAAAAATAGTCGACTGGCCCATCACATCACAAAAGTAAAGACAGGAAGACGGAAATGACATGCGCATTGCGTTCCTTCTTCTTTTTTTTTTTTTTTTCTACAAACTTCATGTGATCAGAACTGCAAGGAACCTTGCTGATGAAAAGGAGGGGGGAAAAAGTCCCTACTTGAACGAATAGAAAACTCTAGGAGAGAACGTTATGCGTCCATTAATGACTTAAAAAAGACTAATGTCCCATTGTAGGGAGTCATGCCTAAACTAACAGACAAAAGTAAGACCATCAGAAATAAGAACCAGTAGGAGTATTCAATGATTTGCAGGTTACAGAAATTGTTCATCAACAGAATGTCAATAAATTATTTTAAGTATATCAGAATTTTTGAAAGAAAATTTTAAATCCCTTAGATGACAATTTTTCATTAATGAATTTAAGACAGACTTCCGAAAATATGATTTCAAACCTATATGAAGGTAGCAATTTTGACCTTTCGAATATTCTATACCTTTTCACTTTGAAAATAGTAACTAACAAAATGGAATAATCATTTTCAATTTGAGAATAGTAAATTGGAATGATTAAAAAAAAATTCAATGGAAAAGTAATTAATCAAATTGGTATTTCATATATATTTAAATTTCAAAGTTAATATTTTGTTTTTAAATATAATTTAATAAAAAATTTAATCAAAACATCTTCGAATATAATGAAATATTTTACGCAAAATTTTATGAATATAAATTTGTATGAACTGAAAGCTAAACTTGTAAAGTTTGTAATCTCTATATTTTAAGCATATTGCTAATTTGTTGACTTCTGAATTGTTGTATAGTCGATGGCCGGGACTATAAATGCCATTTCTCTTGTCATTTTTGTTTACTTAATTTAGAAACCTCCACGACAATAAAATTTTGTTTTCGGCAAGGTTGGCGTCTTTTTCATCAAGCTATGCTCTTTTTTTAGCGATCTCGTGGAGGTACCTAACTTAATTAAATACCAAATATATGAATTCATATTTATCTAAGATTGATTAATTCGTTTTTCTTACGTTTTATCAACCATTTGCAAGTTGTTTAAAGCCAAGAATATTTTTAGAATGCAATATTTTTTGGATAAAATAAAGATTTAGTGATACAAATCTTATTAATTAATCCACAGATGGGACAGAAGCGCATTTATTTCCAAGAATATTTGCGCGTAGGTGAATGACGAACGCAACGGGAATTGGAACTCGGCTCTCCGATTAACAATTCCGAACAGTTATCTATTACACCAACCGCATATCCAATCTCACAGCAACTGGTATTCCTAAGCTTTCACCCACCTAGGTTCTGACCAGGTTCGACGTTGCTTAACTTCGGTGATCGGGCGGGGACCGGTCTTTGAACAAGATTTACTTCAGACGATTTAGGCGTTATTCTAAAACATTGACTTCAAACAATCTTTGATCTGCATTTCAGCCGCTTTTTATAGCAATGTTCAATTCCAATATTAAAAAGTAGTAATTATAAGCAGGGTCTTGAATTCTGGGTTTTCCATCACAGCTAGATAGCCGAGTCTGCCCATTTCCCAAGGGTGGTTGTGTGAGAAAGAAGGTAACGTGCTCGAGTTTCTTTCACCGAGCCGCGAACAATTACGACAAATGCAATATCGACCTCGGGATACTTTAAGATCAATTATTCAGCCCTTCTCGTCGACGATTTGAAAGACCGGCTTAATTTAAATTCTCATCTAAATTCGCCAAGAGCCTACCATTTCAGCCACCTGTGACCCCGTGAAAAATCACCTGACAACTTTCACCTGGTCACCGTCTCTATTTGTGAAGGCTCTTTCTAGCAGTTAGCCACTCAGCATTATCGCCATCTATCTGAACTATCAACAGTACCAGATAATTCATATAGATGGCGATGGAATTTAGATGAGAATAAGGTAGTAGACATACCATTATATACCGTACCTATGAACACTAATGGGTATATCCTCATAAATACGTAATATGCTGTCTAAGTAGTCCTCCACTAACAGTGGTTTATCTACTTCACGTCACTGGCGAGTATTGTATTTTGTTGATGTTAGAAAGATTACCATTTCATTTCCAACCTCCGTTTTGGTTAATCCTCATTCCGTAATCCTTTGTACATTAAAACACAAATAAAACTATCTAAATAAAAATACTTTTTTCAAAACATTTCGTTGACGCAGTGTCTTGTTCAAAAGCGTGTCGAAGCTTCTAAAGACCAACGTTCTTATTGATCGAGAGTTATAAAACGGAACGATGAACTATGTAACACCATTCTCGATACTATGTGATCGCTGCATTAGATGTAGAGAAAGAAAAAGACTTATTTAATAATTAGATGCATGGCTTTTGAAACTGTTGGGTTGAATAATAAATAATTTCCTCTTTTGGTTATCAAGCTTAAACTTCAAGAACTCCGACAGGAGGTAATGAAAGCAAGCGACAATAATGGTTTACACATTAAGATGACGGAATACATGATTTTTTGGTAAAAGGAACAGCACCGAATACAAACAATAAATTAGAAAAAGAATTTTAATTTTTTTCTTTTTTACATTTTAGGAAAAACGTGATATGAGCATATTTTGTTTTGAATTCCGTAGGGTCATCTATTTACAATAGATTTATACAGCAACCTGGATACTTTTATATTCATGGATCTATAGTAATAGGAAAATGTTTTGAAAAAATATATCTGGTCGCATTTGTACATCTCCCGTTTTTTTGTTTTTTTTCATCCTTTATACAGACTAATTCTTTCATGTACATTTACAAAAGAATAAGTATTTAAAATTGCTTACGTAATTTATAAACTCAGTTTATGTTTCACTGACTTTATTTTATGCGAAGTGTTTAGAAACTACCCTTAGAGCGAATTTTAGGCTAGCTCCATCGGAGGGGCTTTTGGGATTCCGGACTTTTAACTTCAGCTTCCAATGTACGTAAAATTTATAAGAATTAGAAATAATAACATTATTTTATTTTTATTCGACACCTTAATCTCTATCTATAAAAGGCAGGATGTGTGTGTGTGTGTGTGTGTGTGTGTGTGTGTAACGAAATTTTCGACGGATTTGCACCAAAATTTACATGCACATGCTCCAAGTTATCGGGAAGGCTAAGACCGACTTTGCATTTCCCAACTCCCATCGATAGTGGAAATAATCGATTTTTTCATGCTTCTACGACAGTTTTCATGTAGTTTGCGGCCATTTTAAACTAGCCAGAGTGAGAGCCTATAGCTGGCTGCCACGAACAGGCAGGAAGATTTTATTGGCTAACGTGAGAGCCAACAGCTGACTGACACGAATGTTATCTAGCATACTAGCATGCAAAAAAAAATCGATAGCTGCATTCGTCACAAGTGGGAAAAATTTAAATCTGCATGGCACTTTACTTCATTTGGCTCATTCGCTTGCTTAAACTCAACGTTGATTCTGATTCCGCAGAACTGGGTTGGGTGTGAAAAAGTATTTGTTGTTAATATTCTTTTTTCATCCGTTTTTTTCAGTTACGAGTCCTGATCGTTTTGTGTTCATTTTGTTTAGTTCTTTTTTTGTAACAGATTTAATGTTTAGCTTTGAAAAAATCGCAGTGTGAGATTGGCAAGGAGTAAGGCATGTAGCAACATCAGCACGGGAAAGGGCACTCCTTTAAAGGCAATGAAGGGCAAAAATATTTTAAGTCAAGTGATAGCGATTGCTGTATGAGTCGTACGATTTTTTAATCAAGCACGGGCAACGTCGGGCCATGCTGCTAGTTCGGCATAATCTTTATTCGTATACGCAAAAGATCTCCGTATTTTATTTACATTTATTTTGCGCGCAATTTTCATTTTCTTTTAAAATCACCATAGTTTATGATTTCTTCACATAAAGTCATTCTTAAAAGACATTAGGGAATCCGAACTAGGTAATATTTCTCAGTACGCATGCAAGAAAAAGAAAATTAAAAAAAAAATATATGAGTAACGTACCGTGCCCCGTGCAGTTGCGACGAAAAGCGAAATTAAAGTTAAACCTTTATTAAAGAATTGTTTTTAAAACTTTCACTCTGTTCGAAATTTGAATTTAACTTTACATGATTTATTTATTTAATTTTTAATCGCGTATTACTACAGTAATTACTACCTGTTACTTCATATTGTTTGTGGTTTCATGTATCGCCTAGATCGAAAAACGGACGGACGGACGGAGAAACGTGCACTGAGCTTTATTTATATAGAAGATAAAAACAGTTGATGTTACACCTAGATTTTTTCTGCAAAAAAAACCAAAAACAACAAAACAAAAATACTGAGAGACCTATTAAAATCTTAATTAAATTATTTTTAACTAATGTAGATAGCAATTCCAGGTTACATAACAAATTGCACATATATGCCCATGTTTTCTTCGCTCTCGAGAGACCCACGATCAACGCCAGTAGGGAAGTTTTTTTAATTTTTTGACCAGTCCTGCACAGTTGAGTTTCCACTTAAATATCCGCTCCTTGACGCAAACCTTGGCATGATGTAAAATCAAGAGATACCCATAGAGCATGCCTTGTATTCCCAAGCCACTAGGCAGGAGTAATACTTACTGCGTCCAAGAAGGTTTTTGCATTCAACTTTGGACTGACTTTGCAGTATCCGCAATAGAGATTTCCAGTTTTCATTGTTTTGGTATATCTTGGTTTAGCCAACAAATATCACAGAGGGCTTTTGTAAATACTTTTAATGGTATGCATTTATTAGGACGATATAGAATTGCTCTTTGGCAAAGAAGACTATTTGCAGAAAGCTAACAGATGCTTCAGTCAATTTATGAATTTAGGTAAGTGAAAAACAACTTATGTTCTGTTTATATGTAAATTTATGTTACATAGCACACACACACACATAAATATAACACACACACACACACACACACATATATACA